TATGACTCATGTAGAGCTCTGGCATTGGCAAATTAAGCATAGTGTTCCTAGAAGTGAAATTGATAGGAACCCTACTGTATTCCTCCTTAATTTATACAAGCAGAAAACTTGTAAGTCAAATGAACAAAAGACTAATTTGAATTATAAAAACAGAGAATGCACAACCTCTCTATATCCAGATTTGAGCCAGTTTACAGATGCAGAACCCCTTGAATGAAGGGGAGGCCAGGTCCTCTTGAGGAAGGACCCCAATACATTACCAACAATTTAGGCAGTGAATCTTTCTTACATCCTTCACCAAGGAGACCTCTGGCCTCTTACCAGGGTAACTGTGCAATGGGGAGAGGGAAATTATCAGACATTTTGGGGACTACTGGACACTGGCTTTGAGCTGATGTTGATTCCAGGGGACTTAAAACATCACTATGGTCCTCCAGTTAAAGTAGGGGCTTATGGAGGTCAGGTAACTAATGGAGTTTTAGCTCAGGACCAACTTACAGTGGGTCCAGTGGGTTCCGGGACTTATCCTGTGGTCATTTCCCCAGTGCAAGAATGTATAATTGGCATAGACATACTTAGCAACTGGCAGAACCCCCTCATTGGCTCCCTGACTGGTAGGGGGAGGGCTATTATGATGGGAAGGGCCAAATGCAAGCCATTAGAGCTGCCTCTACCTATAAAAATAGTAAATCAAAAACAATATCACATCCCTGGAGGGACTGGGGCAATTAGTGCCACCATGAAGGACTTGAGAGATGCAGGGGTGGCGATTCCCACCACATCCCATTTGGCCTGTGCAGAAGACATGTGGATCTTGGAGAACGACAATGGATTATCACAAGCTCTATCAAGTGGTGACTCCAATGGCAGCTGCCTGTACCAGATGTGGTTTCATTGCTTGAGCAAATTAACACATCACCTGGTACCTGGTATGCAGCCATTGACGTGGCAAATGCCTTTTTTTTTTTTTTTTTCATTCTTGTCCATAAGGCCCACCAGAAGCAATTTGCCTTCAGCTGGCAGGGTCAGCAATATACCTTTACCGTCCCACCTCAGGGATATATGAACTATCCAGCTTTGTGTTATAATTTTATTCAGAGAGACCTTGATCACTTTTTGCTTCTGCAATCACACTGGTCCATTATATTGATGACCTTATGCTGATTGGATCCAGTGAGCAAGAAGTAGCAAACACACCAGACTTATTGATGAGACATTTGCATACCAGAGGATGGGACATAAATCTGACTAAAATTCAGGGAGCTTCTACCTCAGTAAAATTTCTAGGGGTACAGTGGTGTGGAGCCTGTCAAGATATTCCTTCTAAGGTGAAGGATAAGTTGCTGCATTTGGCCCCTCCTATAAACAAGAAAGAGGCACAATGCCTAGTGGGCCTATTTGGATTTTGGAAGCAACATATTCCTCATTTGGTGTATTGCTCTGGCCTATTTATTGAGTGACCTGAAAGGCTGCCAGTTTTTTTTTTTTTTTTTTTTTTTTTTTGAGATGGAGTTTCACTCTTGTTACCCAGGCTGGAGTGCAATGGCGCGATCTCGGCTCACCGCAACCTCCACCTCCTGGGTTCAAGCAATTCTCCTGCCTCAGCCTCCTGAGTAGCTGGGATTACAGGCACGTGCCACCATGCCCAGCTAATTTTTTGTATTTTTAGTAGAGATGGGGTGTCACCATGTTGATCAGGATGGTCTTGATCTCTCGACCTCGTGATCCACCCGCCTCGGCCTCCCAAAGTGCTGGGATTACAGGCTTGAGCCACCGCGCCCGGCCGGCTGCCAGTTTTGAGTGGGGTCCAGAACAGGAGAAGGCTCTGCAACAGGTCCAGGCTGCTGTGCAAGCTGCTCTGCCGCTTGGGCCATATGACCCAGCAGATCCAATGGAGCTTGAGGTGTCAGTGCAGATAGGGATGCTGTCTGGAGCCTTTGGCAGGCTCCCATAGGTGAATCACAGCAGAGGCCTCTAGGATTTTGGAGCAAGGCTCTGCCATCTTCTGCAGATAACTGCTCTCCTTTTGAGAGACAGCATACCAGGTACCTGTTACTGGGCTTTCGTGGAAACTGAATGTTTGACTATGAGTCATCAAGTCACCATGCGACCTGAACTGCCTATCATGAACTGGGTGCTTTGTGACCATCTAGCTATAAAATGAGTTGTGCTCAGCAACATTCTCTCATCAAGTGGAAGTGGTATATACGTGACTGGGCTTGAGTAGGTCCTGAAGGCACAAGTAAGTTACACGAGGAAGTGGCTCAAATGCCCATGGTCTCCACTCCTGCCACCCTGCCTTCTCTCCCCTACCCTGCAATGATGGCCTCATGGGGAATCCCCTATGATCAGTTGACAGAGGAAGGGAAGACTGGGGCCTGGTTCACAGATGGTTCTGCCCGATATGCAGGCACCGCTCAGAAGTGAACCACTGCAGCACCACAGCCCCTTTCTAGGACGAGGGAAGTCTTCCCAGTGGGCAGAGCTTCAAGCAGTGCACCTGGCTGTGCGCTTTGCGTGGAAGGAGAAATGGCCAGATGTGCAGTTATACACTGATTCATGGACTGTAGCCAATGGTTTGGCTGGATGGTCAGAGACTTGGAAGAAGCATGATTGGAAAATTGGTGACAAAGAAATTTGGGGGAAAGGTATATGGATGGATCTCTGTGAGTGGTCCAAAACTGTGAAGACATTTGTATCCTATGTGAGTATTCACCAATGGGTGACCTCAGCAGAGGAGGACTTTAATAATCTGTGGACACCACTCACCTTCTTTTCCCAGCAACCCCTGCCATCACTCAATGGGCCCATGAACAAAGTGGTCATGGTGGCAGAGATGGGGGTTACGCATGGGCTCAGCAACATGGTCTTCCACTCACCAAGGCTGACCTGACTACAGCCACTGCTGAGTGCCCAATTTGCCAGCAGCAGAGACCAACATTCAGTCCTTGATATGGCTCCATTCCTCGGGGTGATCAGCCAGCTACCTGATTACGTTGGACCTCTTCCATCATGGAAAGGGCAGAGGTTTGCTCTCACTGGAAGAGACACTCACTCCAGATACGGGTTTGCCTATCCCGCACACAATGCTCCTGCCAAGACTACCATCCACGGACTCACGGAATGCCTTAACCACCGTCACGGTGTTCCACACAGCATTGCCTCTGACCAGGGCACTCATTTTGCAGCTAAAGAAGCGTGCCAGTGAGCTCATGCTCATGGAATTCACTGGTCTTACTATGTTCCCCATCTTCCTGAAGCAGCTGGATTGACATAACAGTGGAATGGCCTTTTGAAGTCACAATTACAACACCAGCTAGGTGGCAATATTTTTCAAGGCTGGGGCAAAGTTCTCCAGAAGGCTGTGTATGCTCTGAATCAGCAGCATCCAATGTATGGTACTCTTTCTCCCATAGCCAGGATTTATGGGTCCAGGGATCAAGGGGTGGGAGTGGAAGTGGTACCACTCATCAACACCACTAGTGATCCACTAGCAAAGGTTTTGCTTCCTATTCCCTTGACATGATGTTCTCCTGGCCTAGAGGTCTTAGTTCCAGTGGAAGAAATGCTGTCACCAAGAGACACAACAACAATTCCATTAAACTGGAAGTTAAGGTTGCCACCTGGACACTTTGGTCTCCTCCTACCTTTAAACCAACAGGCTAAGAAGAGAGTTACGGTGTTGGCTGGGGTGACTGAGCTGGACTATCAAGATGAAATCAGTCTACCACTCCACAACGGAGGTAAGGAAGCATACTCATGGAATACAGGAGATCCATTAGGGCGTCTCTTAGTATTACCATGCCCTGTGATTAAGGTCAATGGGAAACTACAATAGCCCAATCCAGGCAGGACTGGAAATGGCCCAGACCCTTCAGGAATGAAGGTTTGGGTTACTCCACTAGCAAAAACACCATGACCTGCTGAGGTGCTTGCTGAAGACAGAGGGAATACACAATGGATAGCAGAAGAAGGTAGTCATCAATACCAGCTGCGGCCATGTGACCAGCTGCAGCGACAGAGACTGTAAGGATCATGGGTATTTCCTCCTTCTTTTGCTAAAAATATGTTTGTGCATGTATACACCTGTGCTAAGGAAATATCTTTATTTCATTTCCTTTTCCTTTATCATGTGACACAGGACTTCTTAACCTCATATCAGCATTAGGTATTGTTTACTTTATATGATAGTGTTTGTGTTGGGGACTGGTACATTTCCCATTGTAGGAAGGATCGTTGTATTATGTTAGGTGTAATTATGACATTATTATTGTCTTTAGTTGAAGATTATGTATGATCTCAGGAGATGTGTATAGGTTCAAGTTGACAAGGGGTAGACTTGTGATGGTTAATACTGAGTGTCAATTTGACAGGATTGAAGGATACAAAGTATTGATCCTGGGTGTGTCTGTGAGATTGTTGCCAAAGGTGACTAACACTGGAGTCAGTGGGCTGGAGAAGGCAGATTCACCTTTACTCTGGTGGGCACAATCTAATCAGCTGCCAGTGAATATAAAGAAGGCAAAAAATCATGAAAAGGAGAGATGGGCCTAACCTCTCAGCCTACATCTTTCTCCTGTGCTAGATGCTTCCTGCCCTCCAACACTGGGCTCCAAGTTCTTCAGTTTTGGGACTCAGACTGGCTGTCCTTGCTCCTCAGCTTGCAGACAGCCTATTATGGGAACTTGTGATTATATAAGTTAATATTTAATAAACTTAATATATGTATACTTACGTATACATATATACATACACACGTATCCTATTAGTTCTGTCCCTCTAGAGAAAAAATGACTAACACAGCATATCTCCCTCATCCCTGACACATCTCCCTGCAGGGAAGCTCCTCCTCCAGTGGGGCTCTTGCCCCTCCTCCCACATGTTCCACCTTCCTCTCCAGCCCTGAGTTTCTTGCACAGCAGAGGCAGATGTGTAAACACACACAGTCCCCGGGGCTCGCAGCCCAGCTCAGGCCTGCACGAGCTCTCAGAGATACCCACCTGGGAGGACAGTCCATTGGTGAGCCCATGGGCATTCCTCCTCACCACCGCTGATGGGGTCACCTCGTCATCTGTGGGTGATTTTGTCCGAGGGGGCACAATGCCAACTGCAGAAAGATAGAGTAGCCAGTGGGCCTCATGGAGCACAGGAGAGCAGGAAGCCAGCTTCTCAGAGACAGGCTCAGCCCCATTCTCCACTGAGATTAAAAAGCCCAGGGTGTGGCACCGGACTTTGGGTGTGAATGAGCACCCAGGGCTCCTTCCTGAGCAACCTTGCCTTACTTCTAGGAGAAGATGAGACAGAAAATACCTTTGTTGAGAGCTGCCTGCTTCTCTGCCTCTACCTCTTGCCTGGTGGGCACAAGGCTGATGTCTCTGGAGGTGTCCAGGGGTGATGTCTGGTGGGGGTCTTTCTTGCTTTGTTCATAGTTGGCCTTGGGCTGGGGAGAAAGGGTGAGAAGACAGTTGATGTTAGCGTGGCTTCCAGTGATGTTTCTTTGTTTTGTAGTAGTTGAAGCTCAAACCCTTGAAGATAAAGGGAACAAGGAAATTCTATGTGTGCCACCCGGGAAGTGGACAGGGACACACTGGAGCCTCCCACCCATGTACCTTAAGGCTGGCCAATGATGGGACATTTGGGGGAATAAGATCTCATGGCCTCTAAGAGGCCCCCCAACCTGACCAGTTGTCTTGGCTGGCACTAAGAACCACAGACTTGCTGTGAGCCAGAGTCAAGGAATGGCCGGTGGGCGGTGGGGGGTGGGTGTGTGTCTCTGAGGATCCTGTTGGGAATCCTACCAGAGACATAAGCAAACAGATCCAGGCAGGCCTTGGTGTCAGGATTCTAGGGAAATGAAAAGGGCACTTAATGTGTGGGCTCACACAGTCATGAGACTAGAAGAGACCTCAGCCATCATTTGAGCCCCCTCTGCTTGTGGTACAGTTGAAGAATCTAAGCCTCAGTGAGGAGAATACGGAAAGAAGACCAGGCTAAAGGTCAGCAACTCCAGTTCTAGCCCAATTAGAGAGCAGAGGTCCCCTTTCTTTGCCTGTCAAATACAGGTAACATTACCTGCTCTGCCAATCTCACCAGGCGAACCCTCCAGGGTTATGCAAATTACACACAGCTATGCCTAGAGGAGCACATGTGTTTTCCAATTTTAGGCGCAGGACTCTTTCTACTCACCACATAACCTCTTCCAAGCCTAACTGCATATCTCCTGGATCTTGGCTAGGGATGCAGGTGAGAGAACGAGCCAGAAAAAGGGCCTGAATCCTTATACTCCAGGGACTCATGAAACCCAATGAGGATACAGTACAAGGCGGAGGCAGAGAGAGAGCATGGGCGGAGTGGGGCCTGAGATGGGCACAGGAAGGGATTGGAACGGCACTGGTAGGACTGTCACTCAGTTTCCATTGGCTGGTCATGTTGGTAGGGAGTGGGGCATGGCGCTGGCTGCGCATGCACCTGGGGGTGGGGCAGACAGTAACTCACGTCCTCATTACCTACAGAAAGCAAAAAGGCACAGAAAGGTGGCCTATGTGATGGCGTCAACTATCCTTTCCTTATCCCAGAGTCCAGCTGGGCAGGGGCACTGTAGAAATCAAGCTTTGGGACTATTAATGGGGAAATGACTCCAGTGCCCTGCCTTGACCCCTCACCTGGCCCACTGCCCCTTGTCCCCTGCCCCACCCTCCAGGACCCAAGGGTGCTGGGTACCTGCCCCCTGGCTGTCTCGCCACTGCGATGCCAGGAAGGGGAGCTGGGGTAGGGCCAGAAGCGGCTCTCGCTAGGGAGTGGAGGGACGGCTGGAGGAGACTCCAGGGGGACGTAGGCTTTGGGGAGGGGAGGCCGAGGCGGGCCGGGTTCCTGAGGCAGACAGAAGCCAGAGCATTAGGAGGAACAAGAGCAGCCACTGTGAGAGCAGGAGAAAAGAGCGTTAGCAGGAGGCAGACAACAACATCGCTGGGGACCTGGGCAGGCCCCTGGGACAACTGCATTCCCACCCATGGCCGGCAGAGAGTGCCAGCTCTGGAGCTAACTCTCTGCCCAACCTTCAAGGCCCTCCTTGACCCAGCCCCTACCTGTCTACCACTTCCCACTGCTCCCCAGGTTTTCCCAAAGCTCTCTCATTGCCTCACCCCCATGCCAGGCAGCTCCTCTCCCACCCCTTTGCTTTTACCCGCTCTCCTGCCTAGAATGCCTTTCCCTTGTTCCTCTCCCTGCCTTGCTGCTCCACAGCCTGGTTTAGGCTCCACCCTCTGCTGGAACATCAGGGCGTTTACAGTCTGAACCATGTGGCTCAATATTGAGACATACACCATCATGTTCCTACAAATCGGTCTTAGTCCATGGGATGCTGGGCTCCCTGAGTGAAGCCTTTGGGCACATGTGTGTATCTTTCTAATCGACCTCATGGCACCCCAGGCTCAAAGTTGAGCCCCGGAAAACGCGTGCTGATTGACTAGGAAACTGCTCCCCACACTGACCCTCAACCCTCTCGCTATCCTGGCATCATCCTGGATTTAAATTCCTAGGAGATGCATGCTGTCCGCTATCCAGCCTGGTGCGCAGGAACGGGCTTCGCTGAAAGGGAGCTAAAGATGACAGATGGAGATGAGAACAGGTGAAGGGGAAACCTGAGGGGAAGTTCACAAAACAGGGTGTGAGAATGACCTCCCTAGACAAAGAGCTCAAGCACCAGGGCTGGAGGCTGTGGGGAAGAGATGGGCACAGAACGTGTATAGTTTCAGACAAATGAGGGTCCAGTCTTCCCTCCCCCACCTACCTTCTACTCCATTTCTCAGCTTACCTCGTTGGAACCAGGCTTGGTGGGGGACCCCTGAGAGCCCGACACCAGTGAAAAGGGGCTGAGGGGGCTGGTGAGGCTGGCGGAGCTGAGGGGGCTGGCCGGGCTGTTGGAGCTGAAGGTGGCCGAGGGGCCAAGTCCTCCTTGAGGGAAACGGAAGAGGAGAGGTGAGCGATGGAGGAGTGTGTGACCTGGTGGGTAGATGGACACTGTGAGTGGAGGTGGCGGGGAGAAGCCAGACCCAGGGATGTGGAAGGGCGGACTTAGTGTCTCAGGGCCACCTGGGCCTGCTGAAGGGACTCATTACAGGTTCCGGGGCCACAGGTTGGCTGTTGAGAGTTGGGCTGCATGGGGAAGACGGTGGATGGAAATGACATTGTTGTCCCTGAAAACCAGCCTGAGGTCCCAGGGCTCAAGGAAAACTCTAAGGTAGGGGTCACAGGACACCAGTGGGCCCATGTGCTTGGGAGCTGGGGAGGCTCAGGTGCTTTTGACCTTTTTTGGAGAGGACTTTAGAGTATCATGGTCAACAGTGTCTCTGAGTTGTCTACTTGGTCTATTCTGGGGTGGGGAGTGGGGAGTGACAGAGCCCTACCTACCACCCTAGAACCCAGGGACAATTCTGGAGTCCCAAGACGGCCTTGCCTGGCTCTGAACACAGTGTGAGCTGGCAGGTGTGGGATGGAGGCCAGAAATACTGGAGCACTCCTGGTGAAGCAGGCAGCCCAGGAGGCTGGCGCAGGAGGCACCCACCTCTGTGCTTGGCCGTGTCTGTGCCCCGGGAGGGGTTGTTCTTCCTCAGCCCCTCCATCACGTCCTGGATCCTCCAGATCTCCTTTTGGATTTGCCGGTTCAGCACCTCGTTCTGAAGCAGCCACTCAGAGAGTCAAAGGGGATGGCCATGAGGAGTGTCCCACCCTCTCCTTCCGCCCCGACCTCTCGGAACCCACATCCCTTTGGGCCAGCAGGAGCCAGGAGCCCTGTACACACACACACACACACACACACACACACACACACACCCCCCTCCAGAAGTCATCATTCTCATGGGCAGCCTCTGCTCTTCAGCCTCTAGGAAACGAACCCCCAGAATTGACTGAGTCTCCGAAACAAGACTGAGGACCCACCCTTCTGAGTTCCTCCAGGGGGGACCAGGTGGTCTTAGAGTGAATGCCCATCTACGTGAACACTTTATGGTAGATCCTGTTTTTCGTGGGGCAAGAACCTCCATTTTACTGCTTTTCTTCAAGTCCAAACAGCCCGTTTCTAACACCCACTCCCAGCATATACCTAAAGAGTCATGAATTTAATTACACTTCACACTCTGAAAGGTAAGAGCTCCCGTTTATTTAGCATCCCTCAGCACCAGGCACTGTGCTAAGCGCTTTGCACATACAGCGCTAACTTATTTCGGCTGCTCAACTCTAGGAGGGAAGGGCAGCAGCTGTCCCCTCTTCAGAGAGCAAGAGACTCACACCCACGGCCATTTATTTAGTTAGCAGCATCACCGTCATCTAAATATGGGTCTATTTGGACTCAAAAGTTGGTGCTCTTGACCACAACCCTATCCCCTCCTAAAATGTCTGTTTCAAGTGAGGCTTGGTCACGGGACATGGTGGCATTTGAGCCCTCTTGACCAGGCGAGTCTTCACTTCACCCTCCCTACCAGGTGCAAGGTAGGGGTGGTGAGTGGCATTACCATGAAGGAAACAGAAGAAAATGGGGGAAACCAGGGTGTTAACTGCATCAGAAAGACAGGGCTTGCAACCTAGCTAGAAAAGAGGCAGGGCCTGGGTGAAGAAGAGACAGAGGAAAGAAAAGAATAAGAACTCCCCAAGATCATCAGGTCCATCCTCCTGCCTCTGGGAAGACAGCTTCTAAACCATCTCAGGAAGAAAAGCCTCTTTTCTGTCTAAAAATTCCTGAGCAGATTGCTCTTGCACCACCCACTCTTCTAATGCCTGAGTTATTTATATGGACACGTCTGTTTTTAAATACTGCTGGGCATGGTGGCTCATGCCTGTAATCCCAGCACTTGGCGAGGCTAAGGTAGGAGGATCACTTGAACTCAGGAGTTTGAGACCAGCCCAGCCAACATAGGGAGACCCTGTCTCTATGAAAAATAAAAAAATTAGCAGGGCATGGTGGTTCATGACTGTGGTCCCAGCTACTCAGGAGGCTGAGGTGGGAGGATCACTTGAGCCCAGGGCAGTCAAGGCTGCAGTGAGCTGTGATTGTGCCACTGCACTCCAACCTGGACGACAGAGCAAGACCCCATCCCAAGAGAGAAAAAAAATCCTTTCAGTCATAAAACACCTTGTATCTAACTGAAGTCTCCCAAGCTTCACTTTAGCTCCTCCCTCTATGAGATGAAACTAACGTGTCCCATTATCTTCGGTCTGAAACATAGAGTCTGTTATCGACGGCCTGAGCCTTTGCTTTTGTCTCAAGGCCGAATCCTCATCTTTAGTCACAACCCAACCCCCGCCGGCTCAGGGACCCTCCTTCACCTGGGTGTCCAAATTGAGCTGTTCCCAGAGGTCATCGTGCAGAGCAGAGACCTCAGACTCCAGGTGCTCATACTCTACGGTGCTGTTCGTCAGGGCCTGCAGGGGAAGAGGTGCTCATCACCAAAGCATTCCTCCTTGTCCTGCAACAGATTTTCACTCCTCTGGTACCCTGGGGCCAGGATATCAGAGGTGTGAAAATCTGGGGAGAAGGGCATGGAGGGACGGAAGGAGAGGGGCGCCAGGCTGAGACATTCTGATGACAGCCAAACACTAGCCTTACAAGAGATGTAACAGCCCGTCCCACTACCAACTGAGATAAAGAGAAAATGAAAAGGGGATGATATGACCTCCATATCCTCCTATTCTCCCCAGATTAGGGAATAAAAAGTGGAGGGCATAGCTGGGGGACACCACAAGACCCCATCTCTACAGATTACAGAAGTTAGCTGGGCATGGTGGTGCACCCCTATAGTCCTAGCTACTTGGGGGCTGGGCAGGAGGATCACTTGAGCCCTGGAGGTTGAGATTGCAGTGAGCTGTGTTTGCGCCACTGCTCTCCAGCGTGGGTAACAGAGTGAGACCCTGTCCTTAAAAATAATAGTAATTCTTGTTTTTATTTTAAAGTGGAGGGCAAAGAGAAAAGAGCCTGACGGAGGACATGTGTTCTCCGGAGGTTAGAGAGCCTCTTCCTTTCCGGGCCATGCTTTTGCGGGGCTTTTGCTGCTGCTTCTTGGAGCCATTCTCAAGCAGTCTGTGCTGGAAGGTCTGCCCTCGCCCACTGGGAGGCAGTGACCAGGGCAGCAGCCTTTTGCCAGTGATTTGCAACTCCGAGGGAGAAGACAGAAGTGGGCAGCGGAGGTGTTAGCGCAGCCAAGGAAATAAGCGACTCACAACTTCACTCTGTCCCAAAGAAATCCTGGTACAGGCACTGTCTGTGGGACATAAGCTCATTGCCTCAGTGGAGCTTGGAATGAGCTGGCTGGCTGACGTGCTGTTTATTTGCAGGGCAGTGTTGAGGTTTTTGTTTATGCTCCTCTGCACAGGAGTACCCTGCTCTTGTCCTCTGAGGACAACTGGACTAGGACCGCACAAGCTGGGAGGTGGTGGCCCTCCTGTCTAGTGCCAATCGGGTGATGGGTGCACAAGCCCCGTGCCCCGGGTTACCGTGGTCGCCTGAGACAGCTCCACGCGGATGTTGATGAGCTGGTTCTGCAGCGACTCCTTTTTGTGCATCAGCTTCTCTGGGTAGGCGGGCTGGCTCCCAAACATCTCCAGCTCCTGGTGGGTCCCCATCAAGGCACTTTCCAGGCTCTCCTGAAGAAAGGCAAAGGCATGGCATGGGCAGCCCTGACAGCTCCTCTCTGGGATTGAATAGCAGAGGCCTGAGCCCTTAGAGGCTCACCAGGGAGCTGAGCGGAGGCTGTCCGTGCTTTGTCGGCTTAATCAGGATGGAGACAGCAGCCCACAGCCTTCTCCAAGCCAGCCCCGCCCATGCACCCCAGCTTAAAACCACCTCCAGCTTCTCACCTTCTCAGCTCGGAGCTGCTGCACCAGCCGGTCCTGCTCCCTCACCACCTTGTTCTGCTCACACAGTTTTCCCAGCAGCTTCTAGGGGCCCAGACAGTGGGGAAGGAGAGGGAGAAAGAAGGGGATGAAGGACATAGTTTGATGGAAACCTGGGAGTTGGGTTACAGGGCCTGGCCTCTGGATATCTCCTCCTTTCCGCTGCAGAGGAACCCTGGACCTTCACCTAGACCTTGGTGGCTCCTGAGAGCAAGAAGACGGGTCTTCATCTTGGGAGGAAGTGAGTTGGGTTGAGAGGGCTGAGAGCCAAGTGTTAAACTCTGACACCCCCGTCCTTCCAAGGGTGGAAATTCACAAAGGACTGAGGAGATGATATGACCTCATCTCCTAGGCTGGTTGTGAGAACAAGCAGCCTTAGAAAAGCAGTGAGCAGTAGAGACTGTCCCTCAGCCCCACAGAACCTTCTCCCTTCCCTCTCAAGATCCTGTTCTTCCTCCTCCCTCTGAAGTCTCAGGATGGCTGAGCCTCCCTCTGAGGTCTAGTCCTGTCAGGAAGGAACTTCTCCCAGTCTCACTGGGCAGATCTATTATCTAAGTAGGGCCCGTGTGATGGGGAGCAGACAGGTGAGGCCAGAAGGAGGGCTCATGCTTTCCTAGTCCATACCTTCATTTACGCCATTCCTCAAACACCTGCTTGGCTCCTTGCCACTGAGTCAGATTTCACCCTCTGGGCCTTTTAACTTCAAGGCCCAACTCAGTGCTACTTGTTTTGTCCCTGAACTTCAGCCCACATGGCCTCACTTCCCTGGCCCTGGCAGAAACTATCGGGGCTCCCCTTCACCAGGTGAATACCATGTTACCACCTCCTGCTGCTACCTGGCGCCTCCCACCAGGCTGAAGCTCCCTGAGGGCAGGGGCAGAGCTGTATTCTCCTTTCTAGTCACGTGTAGGGACTAATGCCATGCTGGGCAGAGTGGACTGACTGATCTATCCCCCAACAAAGTCTGCATTCCCATTACAAGCAGATCCTACTGCTGTAGGCAAGAGGGCAGAGTGCTCAGTGGAGAAACGGATACAGCCAGCATGGGAGGGAAGGGTGAGTAGGTGGTAGATCAGAAAAGAAGGGGGATGAGGAGGAGGTAGGCAGAATCTTGTTGTGGTGAGAGAAGACATGAATCAAAGGTAGGAAGAGCCACCAGAAGGAGAGATGGATGGAGAGAGAGCCCCCGCAAAGGACAGCAGCAGGAGGCTGGAGAGGAGGGAGGGAGCAGGGAGAGCTGCTCTTACATCTGTGTCTTGCTCGTTTAACTTGTAGGTGTGGAGGCTGTCCCGGAACACTTCTGGATACGGAGGGACCTGCAGAAACACGAGGCCGATTACTGCAGCAGGGGCAGGACGAGGGTACGCAGGGCTAGGAAGCTGACATCACATTCCTGCTCTGCTCCTGCCAGAGATCGTGGTCCATCACCTCTGGTGGCTTCTGTTTCAGGGACCTCATTCTTCATCCCCTGGCTGGACGCCTGGGATGGCCCAGCCTAACCCCATCCCAGTTGTCCTAGGCTGACTCTGGAGAGATCAGAACTCTGCTTGAGTCATGCTCTGTATTTCCTCTCCCCCAAGCACTAGGATCTGCTGCTAGGAGGGACTGCAGAGTGTGTCACTCCCAATGGCTTGTTGGTAACCACCATGAGGACATGAGTGAATTCATGGCTGTCTGTGGGAATAGGAAACAGGAGAATGGTAGGAATGAGCATTGGAAACTGTTGAAAACTATTGCTCTAGTTGATTCAACGCCAATCACAGGGCTTGTGTCTAAACAAAAATTGGCAAGAATTCGGAAGGATCTTTGGGTCCAGCAAATGCTGCCTAGCCTTGACACCACATTTGATGCCCACAGCACATTCTATACACCTTTGATATTAGATGATTCCATTACACCAGTCACGCCTTTAACCCCAGCGATGTCTGTCAAGATATGACAAATATGAAATCGAAATCAGAACACTAAGGAGCAGAGTTGCGATCCCCAGCATGGCATGAGATGTTGGTGCTGGCTATTTTGATGGTTTGGGAAATGGGCCTTGGGTTTACCCATGAAAGTGAAGAATGGAGGTGACATAGTGGAATTAAGGAAGGAAGACCAGGCCAGGCCTGTCTGCAGGCAGATGAGCAGGTTGGGTGGCGTGAGCCTCATCCTAGATGGGCAACTCAACCATGCACAAGCAGCTGAAATGGCATTGGCAGGGACCATGCTGCCAGGCAGAGGTCTTACTTGCATGAAGAGTTGGGACCTGGGGGAGGAGTTTTCCACCATGCGGTTCACCATACTGATGAGAGTCTCGCTCTCACTCATCTGCAGCAGAGGAAGGAACGAACTATTCACACTCCGACCCACGTGTCGGTATCTCCCCTTCACCCACCTGTGCCTGTTTCCCAGGAAACAGGGGAGGGCAGCTCTCCCAGTACCCTGGGCTTGCCCTCACCCCTTGCACACCCCTCGTGACCTCTGTTTCAGGACCAGCACTGAAGCGGTCCTTGCAGAAAGGCCACGGAAGGATCCGGGAAGCCACTGGGCCCTTGCCGGAGGCACTGCAGAGGCCTTGACCCGTGACTCTTCCCCAGGGTGCCTGGCTGTTGTGGGTCCCGTCCACGTTGGCCACGGTTGCCATTTCCCTGCCCTGATCTCATTTCTCACACTACTTTGGACAAAGACCATAGAGGCAGTTGGAAGGCTGCTCTCCCCAAACTTGAACTAAGCGAAACGACCAAAAAAGAAAATCTAGGACCTGCTCTTTGGATGGGCCGCCGCAGATACAGAGGCCCAGCCCCTCTCCCTGCCCCTGCCCACCCTCGGCTCTAGTTCAGAAAGTGCTAAACACGGTTTCCAGAGCTGGGCTGGCAGCATCCATGGTGATCTCAGATGATGCCAGGGAGCAAACGAGGAGGCCAAAAGAAGCGAGCCACGTTAAAGGGACACCAGGCTCTCCAACACGTGCTTTCTATTTCCAGAATCCTCAGGAACATGGAAGTGGAAAAACTATTTGCCAATTAAAAAAAGAGAAATGGAAAAAGGGAGTGGATGAGGAGGAAGGGGAAGAGAAAGGAGGGGTGGGAGAAAGGGTGAGCCAACCAGATCCACCAGAAATGCCATCATTTCCCCCACTGGTTTCAATGGGAAAGGACCAAAAAGGGAAAATATCAGGGAATGTCCCTGGCTGTGTCCCTTTAACTCCATGGCTCTGCAGGGGAAGGCAGCAGAAGACGGAGTTGTGCAGGGAGAGCTTTCTGGGAGAGGAAGTGAATGAGAAAGGGAGGAATGAGCCACATTAGGGAAGATTATCTGGGGCTCCCATTCAGAGGGTCCCCCGTGTTTATTTCATTATCTCCAATCTCAGTTGTCCCCACACTGTCCTTTCTTCCTCTCACTCCTTTGAGGCAACAGCCCGAATGCAGCCTTACTTCTACATGTTGTAGGCAGGGCAAGGGCACCCACCACCCCTGTGTTTCCTCTCCCCCAAGCACTGGGATCTGCTGCTAAGAGGGACTGCAGGGTGTGGAGGTCCCAGTGGCTTGCTGGTAAAACTGTGAGAACATCAGTGAACCTGAATCTGCAGCATTTCAAAAGGCTTTCTGAGGAACTGATTTTTCTAACTCTTTAGTCCTGGAAGGAAAGGGCCCTGAGGGCCAGGAGCCATCCCTGCCCAGTCAGCTGTGGGTATCTCATTCCTTCCCCAACAAGCAGATCTAGAGAAGTAGAGGAAGCAAGCAGGAGTGTTCTCATCCTGGCCTGCTCCCACCTGGGCTGCGGCTTTAGGGATCTTTCAGCCCAGGTGGGTCTTCCCTCTAGGAGGATCCTTGTGTGCTACCTTCTTTCTCTCCAAAATGTGAGATTTTGTAAGAAAGCACCTAACCCACTGCCTTACACATGGTAAGTAGTGCTCATTGATATTTTTAAGTTTTGGAAAAACAAAATAAGAACAGCAGCAAGGGGTGATTCCCACTTCTTGCCAATGCCTGACAAAGAGCTCTCATCTCCACTCCCACTCGATTCTCCCAACAAATCTGTGAGGTTGAAAGGAAGGGCAGGTTCTACAATGCCCATTTTATGATTGAGAAAACAAAGACTCAGAGAGACTGTGACATTTACAAGATTTAAAAAAGAAAAATCCTTGTAAATGGTAGAGCTAGAAGCACAGCAACAATGTCTGTGTCCTGGACTCTTCACATCATACAAGACTGCCTTTTAAGAGTATTATCCTTGGTACAGCGGCTCACGCATATAATCCTAGCACTTTGAGAGGCAGAGGCGAGAGGATCGCTTGCGGCTGGAAGTTTGAGACCAGCCTGGCCAACACAGTAGGACACCCATCTCTACAAAAAGAATTGTTTTAATTAGCCAGGTGTGGTGGTTGCACACCTGTCTGTAGTCCTAGCTGCTCACGAGGCTGAGGTGGGAGGATCGCTTGAGCCTGGGAGGTGGAGGTTGCAGTGAGCTGACTGTGCCACTGTACTCCAGCCTGGGGAACAGAGTAAGATCCTGTCTCAAAAAAAAAAAAAAAAAAAAAAAAAAAAACACACACACACAAAAAAAAGAGTAATACCCTTTATCCATGAGGGGGTCCTCTGGAAGGCTATTTCTGAAGCCCCCAGCCTAATGGTCCAGCCCCTCTGTGAGGATAAAGGCTCCCAGGAAGGGACCCTGCTGTCTGCATTGAATGTTTGGACAGATGGGCTTTGTGGATAGAGTAGAAAGCCAGTCACAAGGGTGACAGGGGGGGACAGCTTGCCCAGGAACCTGGAGATGGATGGGCATTGAGCCTGCTCCTCAGTCCTGCAAGGCACCTCGGATCTTGCTTCCCATCAGCAAAAGCCTGGGCCTCCCTGCCCTGCTCCGAGTTGGAATCCTAAGATCTATACTCACATGGCCCGGAATGCTCGTGGTGTGGACACAACAGGCTGCTTCCGGAGCCGGAATGCAATAAGAGCCATCCCTGCTTATTGAACTGTGGACACTGGTGCTGCTTGGTGCCTGAGGCATATTACAAAATCGAACTGAGACATCGACCTGAAGGTCCAGTGAGACAGGAGATGGGTCACATGGCTTGTGACTAGAAGAACCAACAGTTGCAGCTATAGCATCTGATTTTAAATGTATGTTTTTTCCTGCAACTTTAAGAGCATGAACTCATCCTAATGAGGTCTGATGCCGGCTTTGTCACACCTTAGATGTTTCCTCAGCTGTAAACTGGGTCAAAAGCTCGGAGTCACATTCCAAGTTCGGCTGTTCACTGGCTGTGTGATCTTGGCATGTTATTCAACCTCTCTGTGCTTTGGTTTCCTCAGCTGTGAAATGGGGATAATGGCAGTACCCACCTTGCAGGGTTGTAATGAAGACTGAATGAGTTAGAGATCTGAAAAGCACGTAGAATAGAACGGGGCATGGAGGATGCATCCCATTATTGTAGCTGTTGTCATTTCCACCCTCCCAGGCTGCCTCCACAGGACAGTGTGTACTTCTAGGCCACGGTCTGTAGCACAGATCCGAACTTAGGAGTATGTGCTTATATAAATGCCCAGCATAATGACCCCCTTGCCTGTCTAATCTCAGTCTCACAGCTTAAAAGACAAGAAAGGGTTAGAGCCCTGGAGCAGAGACCAGGAGACCAACTGCTTGCTTCTCCTGGAACACTCACTGCCTCTTCAGCTTGCTCACCTGTAAAACTGGGTTGATAATACTCCCTGTGTCTGCCCTGAATTCTCAGGATTGCATGAGCTGTGTATGCAAAGGGGCTTTTGGAGGAACTAACGAATACACTGAGTGAATATTGCTTTTTAAATCATCCTAGAGAGGGTCTGTAGGCCTCAGTTTACCAATTATGGAGTTTAGCAGCAACCTGTGAAATACGATCCGGTGATGTCCCAGATTCAGGCTGAACTAAATCCCTAGCATTTTAGGCCCAGCCTAGAGCTCCCTCCTCCTCACCAGCAAAAATGCAAATTCCCACCTGCCCCCTGGGGGCAGTTCCATCTGAGCTGAGCACTGGAAAAATAAGAGGTGGCATTAATTATTCATGTGCCTACTTATTATGCTTCTTTCCCCAGGAAACTCCCAGCTGTCCTAAAGGGCTTTGAAGGGAAGGGGTGTTCGAGGGCAAACCAAAACATAAGCCACTTTGTTGTGTCCTGCTTGCACCAACAAAGGCTGTCAAATGGTTGGAAGAGGAGGGGGTGGGGAGGAGCGGAGGGTGAGGTAGGAAGGCAGTGGGATGGGAACGGGGGCACCAGCTCTGCCTACCTGCTGATCCAAATACTCTAGGTTTCTTTGCAACTGAAGATCTAAAAGTTCATCCTACCCGGAGCCCGAGGCCCAGAGGCCAAACAGCAACACAAACAAACAGGAACACACAAAAGAAAACAATAAAAAAGAAGCAAAGCAGTTAAGAGTTAGAGACCAGGACAAGGAGAGGCTTCTCCCTCTGCCCTTGAGGAGTTCTTAGGAAGGGAGGGGTTGAGGATGTGGGCAGGCAAAGTAGTTCTCCACCGGACACTCCAGGGAGAGGAGGGGCGCACGCAGACCCCAGTGCCATCTCTCCTAGGTCTGCCTAGGCCTCCCTGGGAGAGGTGAGTGCCACCAGAGCAATTTAGGCAGCACTTGCTAATGGCTGTTTCCAAGTTTTCTGGAAAAATCAGTTGTTTCCAGATGTGAGTGTCTGCTGCGGGCAAGGCTTATCCGCTCTGGACACTGGCAGAGTGCGAATCAGGCAGAGAGGGGAAGGAGCGGCTGCCCAGCCTCCAGCCTGCCCAGCACTCCTCCACCCTGGCCTCCTGGTGCTGCTGTGGAATCAGGTCAGCAACAGGCTTTCTGGACAAAGGTTCGCCTGATGGTCCCAGTGGACCTCCCCCGTCCTCCCAGGTGGAGCGTCTCATCTAGATCTCTAGGTGGTGGCCAAAGTTCTCAGGAGAACAAATTCCAGAGAGAGACACGAGTAGAAAGAGGCAGAGAAAAAGGAGGAGATGCAATTCAAAAACTTTTTTCTTCCTCAATCATATCGCTTGTATCTCTCCCAAAAAGTGGCATTCCAGGCAGAGGACAAATGTGAATTAACTATGCTTCAGGGGAAAGAAGTTTAGGAGCTCTTGCTTCTTGTTAGGAGCTCTGGCCTGACTTTTCCTGCCTAGGCCCCTTCTCCTGCATGCTGGAGAGGGGAGGGGCCAGGATATTACATGCTCCCAGATCTCATCCCTCCTCCACGGCCTGTGTCACAGAAGAGAAGGGGTTACTTGGCACCAAACTTGATGCTGGGGCTAGAGTCCTGTCTGGGAGGGAGGAGGTATCCAGAGGCTCTAAAAACCAGCCGGGCCAGGCACTAGGCACAGAAAGTCCCTGGAGTCTGCCCCAGTTTAGCTCCACCCTTGGTGGAGCGTGGTGTGGGGAGAGTGGAGGGGAGAGAGGACGTACCATCTTATCGTGGACCGTGGGGGATGGTGGGTAGTTGTAGGGGAACAGTCCTGCAGGGACTGGCCTCCTGTCTCCCAGGTAATCATACTGGAAGAGAAAGGGATCGCAGAGGTGAGGGGTCTGGCTGGGACACGGAGTTCCCCACCAGCTGAAGCTTGAGGTTAGGGGTGTTTGTGTTCAGTCCCACAGCAGATCCCAAACCGAAATAGACAGCAGCCCCCCTTGCAAGGATCTGTCCACGTCCTCAAGATTTGAAAAGACAGAACCCTTTCTGCCCTCTTATATGACAGCACAGTTTCTGGCACAACCTGGGGGCATGTACGGAAAGCAATGTTCCCACTCAAGAGGCAAGGCCATCACCAAGGCAGCTCTCCTACAGACAGAACCACAGGCCAGGGGCTCCCCTGGGCAGCACTGCTGGTCCTGCGGACACACAGCCCAGTGGCCCTTTGGCCCAGTTGCTCCCACATCTCTGCCTCTTCTCAGTAGATGATCAGGCTCCTGGGGAATCTCAGGGGATGAGGAAGGAAGGTCAGGCTGGTGGCTCACCTTGGGGGAGCTGATGGATCGCCTCATCACATAGGCAGCAGGGTCAGCATAGATGTCTTCGCTGCGAGGTGGCAGCCGCTCAAAGCGGGCACTGGGTGAGCGGACGGGGGAGTAAATGCGGGCACGGCTGTAGGAGCCCTGGCTGGGTGAGCGGGGCACAGAGTGGGAGCGGGGCTGCAGGGACAGGCGTCGCAGGGAGCTAGAGGCGGCATCCAGCTCATCATAATAGACTGGCTGCCGGGAGGGGCTGGGGATCCAGACAGTGCCATCCTGCCGCCCGTAGCCAGCGGGCTCCTTCCACTCGCGCAGCTGGTAGGCAGGGCCACCCCCGTTGCGGAAGGCATGGCGCTTGTCCTCCATGGCCCAGGGTGGGCTGATCCGATCGTAGGCCGGCATGGAGCAGATGCTGTCTGGACGCACCCCTGGCGGGTAGTACTGGTAATCATCGGGGTATTGGGAGGCGTAGGGGCCATAGTACTCAGGGACCCTGCGGGACACAGGGTAGAACCTAGAGGGACTGAGAGAGAGGGGACATTGTAAAAAAGGCAGACAACACAGGTATCCCCCACCCACCAAAGCCCCACTTCCAGGTCCCCCAGCCCAGTGCTTGAATAGGTACACAGGGGCTGAGGTTTATTCCAGAGGTGAGGGAAAGACTCCTGTCCGGAAAGCCCCCTTCCTCAACCAGCTCCGCAAGGCTGGACATTGCCATTCAGAGCTTAAATCTTTCTCTTTAAAATGGCGTATCCCTAGGAAGAAACGTGAAGCCTTATTAGCCATCTCCATCTCACATGAACCGCTTTATCAGATCTTTTCCGAGAGGCAAATCGAAGAAAGTCTACCAGGTACCTGAAGGAGGGCAACGTAGGAGGGGCAAAAGGGTGGCATCCTGATTTATTTTATTTTAGAGAAGAGGTCCATTCTGTCACCTCACCAGGATGGACTGCAGTGGGGCCATCACGGCTCACTGCAGCCTTGAACTCCTGGGCTCCAGCGATCCTCCCACGTCCACCTATAGAGTAGTAGCTGGGACCACAGGTGTGAGCCACCATGCCCGGCTTCCTAACTGTATGATCTTGTCAGGAGCAGAACCAGTAGGTTCTTGGTACTCATCCCAGGTGATCCTCTCCAGAGCAGGTCTGATGTTCCCAGGCACCAGACCCCCAGCAATGTGCGGCCGCTCAAGCCACTAGAGGGCAGGTTCCTCCCAGGCCCCACGGCCTTCCTGAAGCTGTGGCTTGTAGTCCCTGGAGCTGCCCAAATCCCCAGGGAAGGAGTCTGCAGCCCCCATTTGCCCTGATGGACACCATTGGGCCCAATAAGTGTCCCCAAATATTTCAAAGCCAGTCAATGGATAAAGGAGTAAATGGTCACAGAGGGCCGTGCTGGGACTAATGAGCTACTTTCTTTCTCTATCTTTCTTTCTTTCAACTTCATATAAATCATGGCTTTAAAACAATTAGAGCTGTTCAGAAATCAGGCTGGAAGTGGTGGCTCACACCTATAATCATAGCACTTTGGGAGGCCAAGGTGGGTAGATCACCTGAGGTCAGGGGTTCGAGACCAGCCTGGCCAACATGATGAAACCCCATCACTACTAAAAATACAAAAATCAGCCAGGTGTGGTGGCTGGCACCTGTAATCCCAGCTACTCAGGAGGCTGAGGCAGGAGAATAGCTTGAGCCCAGGAGGCGGAGGTTGCAGTGAGCCAAGACAGTACCACTGCACTCCAGCCCGGGCAATACCGCAATACTTCATCTCAAAACAAAACGAAAAACACAAAAACGGAGTGGGTTGGTCTGGCAGTGAGTCAGTCTCAAGTGGGTGGAACCCTGGAGGAGAGGATGTTGGAGGAGGGCCCGCAGCTTGGATGGACGTCTGACTGTAACAACTTTGGGCCCCTTCCGAAGCCTGCTGTGTTCTGGGCTCCCCAGCTCGCCATGGAGAGGTGTTGGGGCACTCTGTCTTTTCTTCTGAAGGAGGTAGATGGAGAAACCAAGAATCAGGGACGGCAGCCAGACTCTAATGGTGGAGCCACAGGGCAGGAAGGATTCAGGCAAGCTGGGAAGCGTGGGATTTGCTCCCAACTCAGCCTGGCTTCCAGGTTTTCAACAGGGGAGGCCCTGTGGGCTATGACCCCGCCCCCATGCTCTGGCCATAACACCATATCAGCCTCATCCCGGGCCCCACCAGGCCTCACCTCCGAAGGTCTTCGGGCGGGGGTACCCCCCGGCGCAGGTTCACCCACTGCTGAAGCTGGTTCATGGAGCTCTTGCGCTGGGCAATTTTGTCAGGGTTGGTGCGTGGCGGGAAGCTCCGCCGGTGTCCCCCAGTCTCTCCGTCCTGAGGCGGGAAAGCTGTGCTCCCTGGCCGGCTTGGGGAGTGGTACTGCCAGCCATTGGGCTGGGCAGGCTGTTCCCCACCCCGTGGTACCCTTGGGCCTTCGGGGTATGGGCTGCCCGGCTCTGAGGCTGGCTCCGGTCCAGTGGGGAGGCCGTTGGCTTTCACCAGAGGCTCTTTCTTGACTTCGGGCCTCTCAGGCCTTCTCTCTGCCTTCTCGCAGCCTCGGCCATCACCCTCCCCTCGAGTCTTGGCCTCTGGTTCAGGCTTGGGGAGGCTGTGGTGGGGCGGCTGGTGGTGGTGCTTGCTGGGCGGGATGTTCTCCGAGTCTGGCTTCTCATGGCTGCAGGATGTCAAGGGAGATGATGTCAGTGACTCCAGCCCAGCATGGCGGGGGCAGGGGGTGCCAGACTGGGAAGGAGAAAGGAGTGGGAAGGATGGGTGGGGAGGTGTGTTAACTCCGCTCCCCAGGTCTTCTCTGCAGGTCATTTCCCACCACCCTCTGTCAGCCTGCTTCAGCCCAGCCTTCAAGCTATGGCCACAAGTAATCTCACCCAGTCTTTTTCTTCTCTTTAGTCTGTCCCTGATCCAGCTCCCCACGTTGGGTTTGCACTCACATCAGTAACTGTCCTTGATACCCCAGTGACAAAGGCTTGTTATGGGGCAGCTCTCTTTCCTACAGAAAGTTACTTAACTGCCGTGAGTCTCGGCTTTCTCATCAGCAGAATGGGCATAATAACAACTCCCCTCCTAGAACTTCTGTGAGATATTTATGGCAGGTCCCAGGAGCAGAAATTGCTGCTTTCAAACTCACAAGCCCATAAACACGCTAGCTCCCTTCTCCGAAACACATTTCTTCCAGGACTGACTTTCCGTGAGAATACAGGCCCCACAAGGGTAGGAACGCGGCAGACGTTCTTCCGTTGTGTTTCTAGCACCCACTACAGTACCTTACACATTCATATTTACAGTAAGTATTTGTGAAACGAATGAATGAACTCTTGGAAGCATGCCCCTTGGTTGAAGCGAAGATGGAAACTTGTGAGTTTTCCCCCTTCAGCTTCCCAAGCTCCACACATTCAAGCATCCTTGTTGAAACATTGCTTGGTAAACATTTCTAAGCTATGTGAATGGACTTGGAGTCTACACTGGGAAACTCCCTTCTCCTGGATCCCTGTTAGCACCTAACTCAAGACTCCACACCCAGCTAAGGGAGAGACAGACGCTGAGACCGTGGGTGATGGCGGGTGATGGGAGCAGCCATATGCTAAGAGTTTATTGCATGTCAAGTGTTTTACACACACTCTGTGTAGGCCTCATGACAACTCTATGATGTAGAGTTGTATTTTCTGGGTTTTGAGCAGAGGAACCTTGGGTTCAGAGAGGGTAAGTCCCTTACACTGAGGTCACGCTGCAGCCAAGTGGACAAGGTGTGATTCAAACCTGAGTTTATTTTCCTCCAAAGATGGTGTGCTTAACACACACAGCCGAGAAAAACATGCAAATGTCCCTGACCTCTGGCTCCTGGCCAGGCCCCAGTGGAACCTGGCTTCCCTCTTGGCCCCCTCCAGCTCAGACAGAAGAGGAGGAGCTGGCTAGGGGAAGAGAGACTTCAGGCTCTGAAATCACTCAGCCAGGCCTCCCGCCTGGATGCAAGGTGGTGGCTCACACCCTCTCCAGGGCTTTAAGCAGGCACAGTGAGATTAGCAATGGCCCAGAGCTGGGAGTGTCTTCCACTCTCCTCTTTATTCTTTCTGCACCCCACACTCAGTTCCCTGGCACTCACCTGTGCCGCACAGCTTGGGGCACAGACTTCTGGGCTGGAGGGATCTGTACTCGAGCAGCCTCCCCCATGGCCTGGATCCAGGCCTCTTGCTCCTCAGGGCTTTCGGCACTGAAGAAGTAGGTGCGGACGCCGGCATGCTCGGCCTGTGGGGAGAGGCAGCGCGTGGAGCTGGCCTCGGCCTCATCCACCCAGCACACAGTCACCTGTCGGGAGAAGACACAGACGCCCACAGAAGGGGCAGTCAGTTGGGCCATTCCTTGCACCTGGGCTCTTCCCCATGCGGAACTCAGGAGCAAGGTGAGAAGGGCAGCTTGCAGCCTCCCCGCGGGCTCCAGCTGGTACCCAGGTATCCACCTTGGCTGGCTCTCTGGGCACCATTAGGCAGCCCATTAACCGGGTCAGCCTACTTGCCCCACCTGGGGTGATTAAAGCAGGAGGGACAACGATCACACCCACTTTCCCAGCAAACGCCATGTTTGATTTCAAAGGCAATGACCCCATGTCTGGGAGAGAGGACCCCCTGAGCACACACCAATCTTAGCCCCAGCTTCACTGCTGAGAAGCTAGTCTCTTCCACGTGGAGAGACAGCCGAGCCACTCTCTGCGGGCATGCAAAGGCAGGCACTGGCATACAGACAGAGCACACTACCTAGTTGGCGGCCGTGAGCAGGCACTGCGGGCGGGAACCCAGAAGAGAGCTCCTGTCCAGAGGAGGGGTCCTCACGCGGTCAGAAGGAGGAGAAGCAGAGAACAGGTCAACCAAACACCAGAGGGAGAGGCAGAAGACGACGCAGCAGGAAACGGTGAGGAGCACAGGGAAGGGGGGATTTTCAGATTGTTCCCTTGTACTCAGCATCCCCACCGGGAACAGCAGCACCCAGCAATGCCCAGTTCCGCCTACCAAGGGGTGGGGAGTGGAGAGCTTGCACCAGGGAAATTTGGGCTGGTGGTGGAGAGTCAGGGAATCGCAGTGCTAGCCTGGCTCTGCTCCCAACCAGCTCTGTAACTGCAGACGAGTTGTGGTTTTGCTCTGGCCTTCACTGATGCATCTATTTCATGGGAACAGGGGCCGCCTGGTGAAACTCGAAGTTTTTAGGCTACAAGGAAAAGAGGCCACAGGACTAAATTCTTTCTGGGATCTCAGCATACTCCCCAGTGAGATCCTCGGTAGCCTGGATTAGCCCACTCGACAGGGGACATCTAGTAGTGACTCAGAGTCTCAGGTGTGAGCCTCACTCCAGCCTCTGACCCCTTGAGCCCTAAACCCTGGATCTCTAGGGGTTGAGATAGCCTGGGGCTCTCCTGAGTAACCACATCAAACCCACATCCTCTGAATGCTCACAAGGTTCCTCAGCTGCAGCTGATCCCACCTTACCTCCATCTGTCCCCAGCCCTCAGTTTCTTTCTGACAGGAGCCAGGATGGGTCTCCTTCCTCTGGTCCCCACCCAGCAGAGGGCTTAGCTTGTGGGTGGAGCTCAGGGCAGGTGTGGGAGAGGGCAGGGGAGGTGTTGTCAAAAAGCCAGTGAGGCCAGAAGAAGGCAGCTGGGACTTGCAACTGATGGGGGTAGAGAGACCAGGGACCCAAGCAAATCCTCTGGGTGGAGAACACAGAGTTATTGTAGAGAGGAGACACATAGGCAGGGCTTGTGGGTGTGTCTTGGGCTGGTGGGAGTGGGCAGTAAATGAATTCATCGATTCAGTGAGCATCCAGGCAGAGGCCTGTGTGCACGGAACTCACTGGGGGTACCAGTCACAAGGAAGGCAAAGACAGGCTCTTGCACTTGAAGAGCTGACAGTCACACTGGGGGACAAAACAGGCCACGGGAAACAAGGACAGAACGGAGGCACAGGGACAAGTGCTGTGACGGGAAGGCAGAGGGCCTGGGCAAAGACAGGGCCATTGATGGGGCGTGGGCAGGGGCGCTGGCCTGGAACTATGAAAGGGAGCCAGGGAATTGAGGGCGCTGTCCCAGAGGGGCAAAGCCCCCGGAGCCTCTGTGGGGCCGAATGAGAAGGAGGTTAAGGCATTCAGCGGTAGCCTGGGCAGGAACAGTTCCTGGCTCACTCTTGGCCATCCAAGAGTTTCACTCGGTGGCCACAGCAGGACAAGCCTCCCATCTGTCTCGGCTCCCCTCCCTTCCCTGGGGAAGGCCACTGAATAGCCACAATCGGAACCCTGTGTGGGCCACTAAGCACAGCCCTTGGAGTCAGTTTTTAAAGAGGCAGCTCAGTGAAGGGGAAGGAGGTGAGGAGCTGGTGGGCAGAGAGGTGATATCTGGGGGCTGTGCTGGAGGAGTGTGTCAGTCACTCGGGGAGGTTTATCTCATGCCTGCTCCTGGCAGAGATCCAAGCTGGAGCATGTCTGTGTCTCTACACAGGTCTGGTGGGGAGGGCGAGACAGGCTGTTTGATTGTGTGTGTGGGTGGCGTGTATGTGTGTCTGTGTATAACAGGACGACTTGTTGTTGGTTAAACAGCCTGTTCCTATTTCCCCAGCTAGAACTGGCTCCCTGGAGTCAGAGTTTTATTAATTGTTCATTCTCTTCACACTTCTGGCATACAAGACCCCGGGAGGCTGGAAACTAATTATGTGCCAAGAAAGTCCTTCCTTGCTCCCTGTAGCGGCCCCTGTGCCTGCTGCCCAGCTCTTTTCTGTGGCCAGGTGACTGGAGCCTGAAGGACAGGAAGGGACAGAGTCTCTAAGGCTCTAGAAGCTCAAGGAGTGACCTGCAGGTCCTATCGTCTAACATCATAGCTTTGAAGGGTCTTGGACAGCAATTCTCAATTGGGGGAGAGAGGGCTTTGCACCAAGAAAATGTGTCGTTGATATTATAATGTTATATTTGGAAAATGAAAAGGAACCTATGATTTTTGCATCATAAAATACAAAAGGGCATGAGATTTTTATGGTTTTTGATGGGTCATGAATTTTTAAATGTGGAAAAACACTGGCCTAGGACGAGCCAGCTGCAGGCACATCTTTACCGGGTGGCTCCCCAGGGGTTCCAGGCGGTGATACGGAGCGGGCAGGAAAGGCCCATTTTCCTGTGCACTTCTTCTCTCAAATGGTTTCTTCATAAGGTTTGCAGCTCTTGAGTGGAATAAAACTCAACTGCTAATATTCTCTAAAGATTGAAATTTGGGCCGGGTGCGGTGGCTCACGCCTGTAATCCCAGCACTTTGGGAGGCCGAGGCGGGTGGATCACGAGGTCAAGAGATCGAGACCATCCTGGTCAACATGGTGAAACCCTGTCTCTACTAAAAATACAAAAAATTAGCTGGGCATGGTGGCACGTGCCTGTAATCCCAGCTACTCAGGAGGCTGAGGCAGGAGAATTGCTTGAACCCAGGAGGCGGAGGTTGCGGTGAGCCGAGATCGCGCCATTGCACTCCAGCCTGGGTAACAAGAGTGAAACTCCGTCTCAAAAAAAAAAAAAAAAAAGAAATTTGAGTATGTTTGACTTGGGGGTAGGTCCAGTTCCCTGAAGCCACGGTGGGGAAGAAGCCTTTCCAGAAAAGATCTCAGAACCCCATCAGCCCCAGCTCCGGCCTCTGCCCAAAGGAATTTCCCAGGGGCAGGCACTGGGCAAAAGGTCCAAGGACTCAGGACATAACGACTCCTGCCCCAGTGACAGTTGTGGTGCTGCTGAAACACATCTCTACTGGTCCACTCTGGGGAGAATTGCCTGCCAGGCCCCTAAGAGAGGAGGCAGGTCCCAGTATAGCCTCGTCTTCGCCTTATGAGAGACTGCGCTGAGTGTCGGGGCCATTGCTACTCCCCCTCCCCGCCCCCCACCACCGCTATCACCACCAACACCTGGGATTCCTTAGGGCAATGGCTCTTGACCCTTCTCCATTCCCATAGGCTCTGGAAGAGCAGGCCTCCCTCCCTCACCGGCCCTGGGAGGGGAAGGCCAACTGACCTTAAACGTGTGTTTCCGGCTGATGTTGTCGGAGGGCTGCACTGCAGCTACCCGGAAGCTCAGGAGGGGGATGCTGCCCAGGATGCTCTCTTCCTTCTCATCTGTCAGGGAGGGAGGCACAAGAAAGGGGTGTGCGTTGGCGGGGGGAGTTGTTGCCCCTCCCTGATCAATATCAATACACATTCGTTGTTCACCTCCTATTTGTCAGGCACACAGGGCCACCACACACGCTCTGAGAGGACACTTCCTGGAGTTAGGGAGCGTGGTGGCCCTGTAGATGCTTTTCCAGGCACTGGGACTACAGAGGTGAATATGAGAGAGGGAGTGCCTACCCTAAGGGAATTCACATTCTAGTGCCCAAATCAACACATAAATAACAGCAGATATTTCATATTTCGGAACTGCGCAGGCACAAAGCCGTGAAGAGGTACTATCAGCACCTTCATTTTATAGATAAGGAAGGAGACACAAAGAGGTTAGAGGATTTGTCCAAGGCTACTTAAGCAACAAGTGGTAAAATTGGTCTTCGAACTCAAAAAGTCAACTCCAAAGCCAGCATTGTTGACCACTGTCCTATCTATCCTGCCTCACTAAACAAGACCATCCCCGCAGTGGCTTATGTAACAAGGTGGTGCGATAGAGCATGGTAGAGGGACTGCCCCACCTTCCACTCTCTGGCGCCTCTGGGAAACTCTTTCTAACGTTCTCCCTGGCACGCAGAGCCTGCTCTGCCCTCTCCTGCTGCAGGTCCCTGCTGAGGTTCTACGTCTCCACAGGAAAAGGCACCCCAGCACGGAGTGCTCTGGCCCTCTTCTCCCTGGGATCTGGCTAACAGTCCAGCTATTACACAATTCATCCCGAATCTCCAAAGGAGCCTGATGGATTGGCCAGTTGGGCCCCCAGCTGTCAGCAGGAGGCAAGAAAGGGAGGGAGTGCTCTGTGGGACAGTAGTGGGGACAACTATGAGACCACGGCAAGACCCTCCCCATCTCCCTGGGGTCACTATTTGCTCCCCAGGCTGGGAACTCTGAAAGGCCTTCAGCTAGGGTTCAGAAGAAATCTCTGTAGGGTCATAAGCTCCTCAAGCCCTGCTTCTCCTCTTCCTCGTCACAGCTACATGATACTTGGCCCACAGTTCAGCTTCTCTGTTCGGACTCAGCATGGTACCGGGAGGAGGGGATAAACCAGAGTAGGAGGAGGCACTTGAGGGGGGAACCCCAGGGCTGCCTTCAGGAGAGCTGAGGCTGTCATCCTCCAGAGATGGAGCCCATGCCTGGTGGAGTCCAGGCCAGCATTTGGGGGCGTCCTGAGTCCATCTCTTGGTGAACAGTGACCCCCGTTTTGGTAAAGACTCAGACCAAACACCTCCTGAGCGTTTGGGTTCTCAGCCCTTGGAGGTTCTACCCCTACTGCTTCCCAAACACTCTCTTCTGCAGAGACCCCCGCTTTCCTCCCAGTTTCCCTCCCACTCTGGCTCCAGTGTGGCTCCATATCCTGGAGGCTCAGCACCCAGGTCCTGGGCCTGGGCAGAGTCCCCTCCCCCAGTCTTGGGCTTTTCTCTGGGTCTGCACTGTGTATGCTCAGCCCCTTCCTGATTTCTCTCCTTGAGGTTCAGGTGGCTGCAGTACAGCAACCAGGGATAGCAGTGCTCTGTAGGGTCACTGGGTACAACCTTTGTTTGCTGAAGTTAATGATTCACTGAATTGCTCTCAGGAGGCCTGGAAATCAGGGCTGTGCCCTCCTGGGTCAAGGAAGTGAAGGAAACAGCCTCTCCCGCTTCATAACAATTGTGCCCTCTCCTGCATCTCTCCTCTCATCCCTCACACCTGTTTCCTCCCCCGCATCTTCATGGTGCCGCCATGACTGACATCAATGCTTGTTGGCACCCTCAGCCTGCCTTGGCACAACTTTTAAAAAGAGAGAGTAGGGAGAGGGAGAGGATGTTGGGGTGGACAGAGAAGGTGAAAAGTGGAAGATATTATGTTCACTCAGTCGGTGTTGACTGAGCACCGACCAAATGCCACACGGTGGCTTAGGTGCTGTGGATACAGCCGCGATGAACACTGACAGCAGTTCCTGCCTTCACAGACGGGACTGTGCATTCCAGTGGGACAGGAGGAAGAGCCACGCACAAGCTCCAATTAATAGGTGACCTACTAGTCGTGACTAGTGACCTCCTCCTCCTTGTCCTTGTCCTCTCGCCCCACTCCTCCAGAACTTCGCCACCCACACGACCACCTTGTTCGCCCAGTGTACCGCCGGCACTCTGCCTGAAACCTAGCAAGCATTGTTGAATGTGAACTGAATGAGTGAGGGTGTGTGTGCGAACAAGTGAGCTCTGTTTTTATCCTGCTGCCACTGGTGCCGGCACCACAGTGGGGACATCTGCCCTGCTGGTGCCCATCCAAAGCTGAGCTCGGGGGTATGGCAGAATGAGAAAGAGTGGTGGGTCTTAGCTTCCTACTGGTCCGAGGGCCAAGCTCACCTTTATAGTAGAAGAGGCAGCGATCCACCAGGACGAACCAGCGCTTGTTCCACTGCTTAACTCCGGAGCTGGCCTGCAGGACATGGGAGAGGCAGATGTGAGGGCTGCAAGCTGGACGGGGAAGACGAGGTGGGGTGCAGGGAAAAGGGCACCGCATCAATTATAAGGACATCCTGGCCCCAGCTGCAGCTCTGCTGTTAATGCACGGCAGCAAGCCCCGGAGACCTCAGACGCAAGGAACTGACATTAGCTTATTGCCTGTGACCTTCCAGTTCTGTCATTCAGTGCCTCCCCTGGGGAGGATAAAAGAGGCAAGAGACAGGCAGAATGACTGAAGTGGAAGGGCAGGCAGGGAGAGTGGCAAGGCCAATCTGGTGCCAATCAGTGGACCCCAGACTTGCAGGAGACACACCTATCCCCCCATAATAAGCAGGACCTGCTGGGGAGCTAGTGGGTTGCTCCCGGGGGGTTGGGGACCCAGCATGTTTCAAGATCATTGCATCTACCCATTAAGAAAACAGGCTGGGTTCCCAAGTTTGACACAAATTTTTCGGTGTGACTTTGGGAGTATACTCGGTTTCTCTGAGCCCTTCATAATATTAGGAGACTGAGTCACAGAGACAGCAGGACGATATACCAAAAAAACACACAGACTGTCATAAGCACAGAGGAATCCTCATTCTAGGAGGAGAAGGCGGAGGCTAAGTGGCCAGAACAGCAGGGTGGACTCACCTGTTTGAAGAGCCAGCCCGCCTTGGTGACTGGCGCGTTGGGGTTCCGCTTCATGGAGTGTGAGCGCTTGCCAAAGGCGACAGCTTTGCGGGTTGTGCGAGTTGCCTGGGGGCAGAGAGAGAAGCTGGCCTAGCTCCCTGTCTCCTCCTTCCTGCTGTGTCTGCAAGGGAGCCACCCCTGCTTGAGCTGCTATCCCTATAGGGTTAACCCTGGGGCACCCTCACGCCAAGGAGCCCCGGTATGAATCTCAGATCTATTACTAGCTCAAAGGCAGGGACTTTCAGTTCTTTGGCAATTTTTCTCATTTCTAAATTAGGGCTCAAAATAATAGTTCCAAAAAACAAAATAATAGTCTTACCTGTCTCACAGCTTTTTTTTTTAGGGGGCAGGGAGGTGAAAATAGTGATTTCTAATTTCACTCTGGCCTATCCTACTGCCAGCCTCCTTACTCCTCCCCATTCTGGAAGTTAACGCCCCGCACCCTCCTCCTCTGAGAGGCCCATGCGTCATCTCATGCCCAGCGTAACGTGGAGCTGGGAAGAGAGACAGGTGTTCTCCTAGCTCTGTGTGGCCACTGGCCACTGTCGTCCTTCCACACTCTGGCAACAGTCCACCTTTCTAGAAGCATCACTGCCTGATGTCCCACTGTTTAATCCTTCTCAGCACTGTCCGCTGCTCGATCGTTCTTTCAGAGTCTAAGGGTTTTGATGTCAGTCCTCTTCATTCTGTCTTGCATCACTGTGGAAAATCTCCTTGCTCGGGAGCAGGACCCATCAATGCCCTAACTTCATCCCGCCTTGATGTCCTGGTCTCCAGCACTCTTCACCTGCACTCCAGCCACGCGCTCCCAGGGTTACAGCTTTAATCTTGCCAGCACCCCAAGCCCCTCTGCTGCTCTCTTCACTTTCAGGATAACTGCTTTCTGACTCCAACATTCCACACTTTGGGCTTTCTCACTCCATGAACTCAACACCAGCTTTCCTACTTCATTGAGGTCCCCAGCTCCTCAATTCTTCTCTTTTTTTCTGGATCCATCAGCTCCTCCCAGTTTCAGTTACTTCCCCACAAAGCCTAGGCCCCATGGTGGAGTCTATCCGCTGGACTCTCACAAACCCAATCTATTGTCTTCCTCCCTCATTTTCTCTAAAACTCAATACAGCACTCCAAATTCATCAAATGACCGACTCTCCCTGCACCCAGAGCCAGATTATGGTGCTGTTGGAGAAAAAAACAAAAATCACACTGCTGTATAGATGAGGTTGCCACAGAGCTGCCGTCCCAATCCCAAACGGCAGCTTTACGCCACACCCTCACCATCCTCCCCACCCCGCAACCTCCCCTGCCTCTGCCCTCCTCACAGTGGACCTGCTTGCTCCTCCAGAGAAATTCAAGGCTATTAGACACGCACTCCCTCAATTTCACACCCTTTTACCTAGAAAATGAGTGTCCTTACCAATATCTTTGCCTCTTCTCCTCCAACGTCAAAAGAAGAGGTGCTGCCCTCCTTCCAAGGCTGACACTTCTGACCCGCTGTGTCCTCTGAGACTAAGCTCCACTGAGCATCTCCTCTCAAGTATGTCTCTGATGCTTCCTCCTCCACTGACGTCTTCTCCTTAGCAAATGGACTCAAGTCTCTCCATCTGAAAGTGTCTCTATCTCTCTCTCACACTGCCACACACACACCCAAATTCCCCCTTCAATGCTATACCCACTGTCCACTGTGAGGTAATACCTTCCCTCACTTACTCATCAGTACTAGGCTCCTGGGAAGAGTTTCCACTTTCTTTTTCTTTTTCATTTTCATTTTTTTTTCATTCCGTTGCCAGGCTGGAGTGTAGTGGCACAATCTCGACCTCCCGGGTTCAAGCCATTATCCTGCCTCAGTCTCCCAAGTAGCAGGGACTATAGGCACTAGGCCTGGTTAATTTTTTTTTTTTTTTTTCCAGAGATGGGGTTTCACCATGTTGGCCAGGATGGTCGCCATCTCTTGACCTTGCGATCCGCCCACCTCAGCCTCCCAAAGTGCTGGGATTACAGGCGTGAGTCACCGCGCCCGGCCAAGTCTCAACTTTCTCTCCCTCCGTCACTCCTAAACTTTCTTTACCTATTTTCTGAAATGGCTCTTGCACTGTTATGGAATTAAGGCCGCGCAGTCCTTGACCACCCTACAGCACTGGGCAATCTCAACCTTTCTGACTTTCCTGAAACACTTCTTTGGGTTTCTACAACACTATTGTTTTCCCTGCAATACCTCCGTCTGTGGCCACTCCTTCTCAATCTCCCCTACTTCCACTCTCCAAGTAGGCGGGCCTCAACCACACTTTTATTATTTTATTTTTATTTTCTCATTTTTACATCATGCCTGTGTGATCTAATCCATACCCACTGCTTCAGCTCTGAGCAATGTGAGAAAAGCTCCCTACACGATAGCCCAGACCTCTCTCCCAGCCCAACCCATTTTATACCGGATTGTCTAGCCAGGATTAAGTAAGTGCAAAACCAAACTCATTCTCTTTCTAACAAAGCCTGTTCTGTATTTCTCATCCTGGTGAATGGTACCATGTGCCACCTAGCCACCCTCCCCAGAACTTGGCGTTGTCCTGCATGGGTCCCTTGTTCCTGCCTTCGTTTACACAATCGTGTATACAGGGCTGATGAGTCCGTCTTCTTAATAGTCCTCAAATCCGCTCTTCCCTCTCAAATTCCACTATTGGCATCTTAAAGGTCCTCATTGCTTCTTGCTCTCCGCCCTCTACAATGAACTAAGGTTTTTTTTCTAAAATACAAATTTTCCTGTTTCTTCTCTCTTGCACCTAGCACTGAGGAGAGAGGTTGGATTCCTCAGCACAGCACAGAGGACAGATCTGTGAGGTCTGGCAGGGCCCGTCACCATCTTCTGCCCCTTTACCAGACAGGCCCCGCCTCTGCTACTCTCCACTCTCCTGTGCCGTTCTCAGTGTGCTCCCCGGCGTTGGGGGAGGACCCCTCCTTCCTTATCCACCATCAAATCCCAATTCATCCTTGAAAGTCTGCTGCAGACACCCTCGCTCCGTGATGCCCTGATCCCCCGAGCGGTTAGCTACACCTGGTTCTCCGCACATCTGTGCAGTCCAAGCCACGGCCTGCTGGCCACACGCAGCCCAGGATGGCTTTGAATGCAGCCCAACACAAAAACTTTCTTAAAACATTGAGTCTTTTTTTGTTTTTTGTTTTTTTAGTTCATCAGATATTGTTCGTGTTAGTGTATTTTATGTGTGGCCCAAGACAATTTTTCTTCTTCCAGTGTGGTCCAGGGAAGCCGAAAGATTGGACACCCCAGCCTAAAACCTGCCACAATGCAGCTTTCTATCTCCTCATTGCACCATGAACTCTTTGCAGGGAGGAACTTTTGTCTTTTTCACTTTTATCGCCAGAGTCAGCAAAGTGTCCAGCCATAGCAAGCACTCAGCAACTGCTTGCAGAAGGAAGTAAGAAAGAAATTGGACTTTATTATAAAGTACTCCCACAACTGGGAAATAAATTATCTGAACATGACTAACAAAAATACACATAAAATGACTGAGATTTTCTAATGGAAGAAGTCACCACTACTCTAAGAATATGCAAATCCTAAATCCTTCCCTTTTCTCCAGTGCAACTCTTTCATAATTCTACCTCCTCTCTCCATGGCCTAGAATCTGCCACCCATAATTTACCACTCCCGGCAACCTCCCACTGACTCCTGAACATCTAGCCTCCTATCTGTCTGCCACAGCTTTCGGCAAACTGAGGCTAATCCAACTACCTGCCTTCCCTGCTCTCACGGCCAGGCTATGAGCATGCTGGAGAAAACCCACGCAAACCCTCAGGTTTGGGGCTGTGCAGAATCACACTCTACTGCCCCAGATGATCCTTTGAAATTATAGGGCAATATTTCATGTGTTTCTCATTGACCGTCATTCCTGTTCCCCAAACCTGTCTCCCATATTCTCAAGCTCCCAGCCCCCAGCCTGATGCTTCCCCACCCACCCCATTCTTCTCAGCAGAAAACCCTACCTCCTCCTTTCCTGCACAAGTTGAGGACATCATGTGAGCGTCTCTTTAATTTTCTAGACACCCACTCCCTAGCCTCACACACCTTTTTTTAATGCAGTTTCAGGCAGAAGAGGCTTTTCCTCATCCAGTCTAATAACACCTCTGCAGGTGACTTCCTCTGTCTCCATAGAAATGTGACTTACTCCCTGTCCTCCTTCTCCTGAACCTACTACCGACTGGCCCATTCCCTTCATGCCTCTAACATCTTAAAACCAAACAAAACCAGCGAATGAAACCTCCCTCCAGTCCTGAGTCAACTTCTAGCTTCCATTCCCTGCCCTTCCATTTCCCTTCACAGTCAAGTGTCTTTAAAAACACTTTTTGGAAATATCTCAAACATTTCAGAAAAGTAGGGAATGACCCGATGATCATCATTTCATGTTGCTGTTCCCTAACGAAACAAGACAACTGGAGCTAAAACACCCCCAAGCCCCTCCCCAGTCTCATTACCTTTCCTCCCTCCCTAGAGGCAATGACTGACCCAAAATTAGGCTTCCTATCCTTGATGATGCACTCCTACTGCAGCTGTTTCTATAAATACATAGTACTGCTTTTCATGTCTGTACATTTACATAAGTGACATCATAGTCCTCATATTCTGCCACTTGCTTTTTTACTCAACGTTATATTTTCAAGATTTATCCTGTTAATACATACAGCTCCAGTTCATTTTAATTTCTGGCGAGTGCTCCGTTATGTGATGATATACTACCATTTGGTGTCTAGTTCCTCAGAAGAGCAGTTTCTACGCTCTGCTCTTCCTAGGCCTCCTCCCCCATCCCCCTTTTACCTCTCCAGTCTGTCTTTGGCTCTTCTCCTACCACTCAAACTGCACTTGTCAGGGTCCCCAGTGACCACATGGCCGCTAAACCCAGAAGACACTTTCAGCCTTCGCAACATTCTTCTCTAGATTTCCTTCTCCTGGGGCTCTCTTCTTTCCTTCTCCCTCTCTGAGCTCTCAATCACCATGTCCTTCGTTTCAATGGGGTTGGGAGATTTTTGTCCCCAAGGACATCTGAGAATGTCCAGAGATATTGTTGATAGTCACCACTGGAAAAGAGGTGCTCCTGGTATTTCGTGGGCAGAGACCAGGAAGGCTGCTCAGCACCCTACAACACACAGGACAGTCTCAGGGCAGCAGACCATCCAGCCCCCGACTGTGAGCAGTGCTGAGGTTGAGAACCTCTGGTCTAGATGTTGATCTTCTTTGAGGTTCTGGTCTGAGCCCTTGTCCCTTCCTACTCTCCACTCTCTTCCTGGGTCACCTTGCCTACTCTTGGAGCCTGCAGAAATAGCTGGGCAGGCTCTGATTTCCTAGGGTTCCCAAAGATCCCACTAAACATGCACTGAAGACATTTCCAGCCCAGCAGCTTGCCTGGAGGGCTGGACTCACCCGGACGCTGGGCCGCTCTGGAGGGACCTCGGACACCATGTTGTGGTTGGGTGTGTCACTCTTGGTGGTAGCCGGGCGTTTCCCACCTGTTTTATTGGACATGTCCAAGGCCGATCTGATTTCAAGTTGACCAGAAAAAAGAGACTGGTGAGAGCCAAGAAACAATGGAAACCACCCATCCCTTTACCACACCCTGCCACCCACTGTCTCAGCATCAGCCCAAAATTAGATCTCCTGCGTGCCAGTGAGGGGTCATCTCAGCCACTCCTTCAGCCCTTCCGAAATTATACGCCGGCGATCTTGGACATTGGACATTTATTTTATTTATTTTTTTGAGACAGGGTCTTGCTCTGTCACCCAGGCCGTAGCGCAGTGACACAATCAGGACTCACTGCAGCCTCAAACTCACAGGCTCAAGTTATCTTCCCACCTCAGCCTCCAGAGTAGATGGGCCCACAGGCATGGGCCACCATGCCCAGCTTTTTTTTTGAGACGGAGTTTCGCTCTTGTTACCCAGGCTGGAGTGCAATGGCGCGATCTCGGCTCACCGCAACCTCCGCCTCCTGGGTTCAGGCAATTCTCCTGCCTCAGCCTCCTGAGTAGCTGGGATTACAGGCACGCGCCACCATACCCAGCTAATTTTTTGTATTTTTAGTAGAGACGGGGTTTCACCATGTTGACCAGGATGGCCTTGATCTTTTCACCTCGTGATCCACCCGCCTCGGCCTCCCAAAGTGCTGGGATTACAGGCTTGAGCCACCGCGCCCGGCCTTTTTTTTTTTTTTCTTAAGAGAGACGGGATCTCACTCTTTTGCCCAGGCTAGTCTTAAACTCCTAGACTCACATGATCCTCTCACCTTAGCCTCCCAAAGTGCTGGGGCTACAAGCACAAGCCACCTGTTCCCAGCTCTGAACATTTATTTTCCAAGTCTAGGCCCTGGACTTTTAAAATAAATAATAATAAGTAGAACCTTCTCCTCTACTTTAAAAGGCACAACAGCCTGGTGGCCTATGAGAGTGAATTAATTAGCCTCTTCTCTTTTTTTCTCCTTTCATTTGGTGAGCCAGAATCCACAGTGAGAGGAATTAGCATTTGGCTCTCATGACCGTATCAGATTTTCTCAGTGCTTCCCTCAAAGGCCCCCTGAGTGCTATGCCAGCCTCACACCTGTCTTCTATTCCATCAGCTCAACCTGCGGGGTGCACCAACCTGGCTTCTGCTAGACCCTAGGAGAAGTGGATGAGGGTGTCAAGCCAGATGGGTCTCAGATGCTCCCAGTCCTCAGAACCGAGGTGGGTGCCTGCAAAGCCCTTCTGCTTTCCTTTCCTCCCTGTTGCCTTCTGCTTTCCAGCTGCAAGGAGGCGGCGGGATGGTAGCGGCTAAGGACAGAAAGGCCAAATGGCAAGTAGGGGGCAAACTTACATTTTCAAGTCAAATTTTGTGTTTTCCTCTGGGACCTGGCCAGTCACTGGGTGTAGAAATGTGTTCCGTCTTTCATTGTGGCTGTAGAGGGGAAAAAAAAGAGATGTTGTGGCAAAGATGAAGGAGGCAGAGATAAAAGCCAATGGGTAGATAGACCCTGGGTGGTGACAGGGACAGGTGACCATGTGAGGAGCTTGTGCCTCTGTCCTCCAGTGGGATCCATGGGAGGCCTGGGCTGACATCCAGATGAGGCTGGAGGCAGGGAGTGGGGAAAGGAAGAGATGAAGCCTGGTCACCTCTCACTAGTCAATGCTAACTACTTACTAGAGATCTCTGAGGCTGGACATAAGCCACACTGAACTCTTTCAGTGGTGATCCTAAGGGTGGGGAAGAGGGGTTCCAGCAGCCAATCAGCACATCAGGACCTCACTCCTGGCAGGTTCTCTCCTGGGAACTGTGCCTGCCAGTGCGCCACAGAAAAAAAATGCTCCCTTATTATTTGCTGAAAAAACTTTCTTGTGACCTTGGACTCCTCCTCCTTATCCTGCTTTATGCTCTGTGTCTTTCTTAAAAGGAAATGACAGCTTGAAAAACTCCATTCTTGAGTTTGGGCTTGGACACACCCATCCCCTAAGTCCAGAGTCTCCTGTCTAAGGGCTGCTTGATGTCACTGAGACCTCAGGGGCTGTCAGGCATGAAGGTCAGCGCTGGCTCAACAGTCCGATCTCATTAAGGGGTGCTGTGGCCAGCAGTGGGGTGGGGTGTTGTGAGGACAGCCTGCGCACTGAGTGTCAGGACAGTTACCAGGAGGCTCTCAGGGGAGATGGGGAGGAAGGCAGCAGACAGAACGCGGAGGAGCTGATGCAGGGGGGCTAAGCCACAATGGCAACCACTGAGATCGATTCTGTAGGCAGCAACTATTTGGCAAGAATGTAGCAGTGGAGATTCGACCATCCAGCCAGTGGGGAGACTCGATGAGTCAACGTCCTCTTTGCCCATCCCGCTTGAGAGAGAACCCAGAGGCAGTGCCAGTGAACTGCAAGGAGCGGGCACTAGGACAGAGGCCATGGAGACTGGGCCACTCAAGCACACCCACAGCAGAGGGCTGGCTCTGCTTGACAAGTGGCAGGTCAGGCAGCCGCAGAGGAAGGAGATCTTAGCTTGGTCCCAGTTGCATCAGAGAAAGAAAATAACCTTTTGGGGACCCCCTTTCAATAGCCCAGAGCACATCCTAGCCCTGGGGCAGTCTGCTAAAGCTAAAGATAATATCAAAGAGCGCTTTTTCAGCTTCCGAAGCAATCATGCTCAGATCTAATCCAAAGACATGCAGGAAGATGAAAGCACAGCAGGCAGTGCCCACAGTCTATGTGGAAATCTGGGCTCTGCAGCCAGGACCCAAAATTGTGCACGTGTCCGCCAGGCCTGGGTTCTGAGTCTAGCACATAGATCGGCCACTCCCTACTTCCCAAACGTTATTCCCACCTCCCTCCCAGGTCCAACAAGAACATGCTCCTCAACTTCGTCACAGGGAGTCTTTGCAAGGAAGGGTAGCTGTTTCCGGTTACCCCTGTCTGTCCCTGAATCTGTCCCCTCTGGAGCCTGGAGAGGGCATGCAGTCTGTGGCAACTAAGATGTCCTGTGAAGTGTCAAGTTGTCTGCTTTTTCCTAGTGGCGCAGGGCACCTGCCCCCTGCCCCGACCCTCCAGTCTCCTTCTGCTCTGCATGCTCCCGATGGTAACTGCTGAAATCTTCCCTGCAGACACTGGCACAGACACACACACACACACACACACACAAACACACACACAGTCTGCTGCCAACCGTCACAAGACTTCTAGGGAATGGCACATCTCTCCCTGCCCCAGACTTTCCTACCCAGCAACCCCTACAAATGACGTCCTCATTCTATCCCGGCACTACCAATTTCAAAATAGCTTCCCCTTCACGAGCACTGCAATGCAGCAACCATTGACCTAACTGTGCTTCCTTCTCCAGGTCATCTCAAGCAGACCCCTCACTCTGAAGCCCCCGGATCCAAGCAGGATGTGCTGCCGTCTCAGCTTGCTCTGACTTAACTTGGCTCATGATCCGTGGAAGAAATCCCTACCTGACCCGTCGATCAGCCCGAAACTTCAACATCTTTTTGGCAGCTCTGTCCCCAGGTTGGCAGCCTCAGAGGACCCGCCGACCACCCCGCTCCTACCATGCCTCTGAGAAGTAAGTCCTCCGGTCCAACTTGCAAGGCTGTGGCAGAGAGGCAGAGCGATCGGTGGCAGAGACTCCAGCAGTTCCCCCTCCTCCCGGCTCTGGCCCTGGAGAACCAGGAGGGCACTCTCCTCGGGTGGTGGTAGGGGTCGCCCAGGTGCCCCAGTAGACCTATGACTTCCTGGGATTCGGCCAGAATGCTAGTGGTCAGAGGACCGGAGGCAGAATAAACAAGGAGGGGATGATATCCTCCCCATTCAGCTCCCCAAGGAGAAAATGCTGAAATGGAGAGACAGGCATACACAGAGCAGGTGTAGCACTCCCAGGTAGTCCGACCTCACTGAGCTAAGGACGCGGAGTGGCTGAGCAGGCGAAGGAGTCTGGGGCTGCCTTCCCATCTGCACGGCAGAAACTCATGCCAGCCCGACCTGCAGGGAGACAGTCCTCCTGCCTCCCCAATTCCCAACCCACAACACAGGCTGCTGAGCTGAAAACCAACTTGCTTCTTAGAGATTCTTCAGATCCTGTGGGCATAAGGGTTAAATGAAGCTCCAGATTCATCTGCTGTTATTGCTGCCGCTGCTGAGATGCTGAGATTGATTGAGCAGGTCTCCTTCTCTTCTGTCAGCCTGCCCAGCCTTCTTCTGTGTGGACGGGAGCATAATGAATGAAGCTCCTCTGCCCCGTCCCTGACATCCTCCTCTCTGACAGCACCGGGTTGCTTTCCCTCCGTGTGTGGCAAGTCGACCAGATGGGCGTGGACGTTGTGGAACCAGAGCTGGTGGCTAGGATGAGGCTGCTCAGGCAATATCAAAGGAGAGCTTCCTCCCAAGGCTTGCAAAGAAGAGGGCAGCAAATGGGGCTTGAGAGGGGGTCATCGTGTGTTTATGGCTGAAAATCTTCGCAGACACGAGATGATGCATTCCAGCTGGTGACTGACAGACCTGCTCAACAGCAAGGAGATTTGCGTCGATGTTAATTCCTCTGAACTCTCCAGCGGCTAAAGATGGTCAGAGCTCCTCTTTCCTAATGTCCTTCATGTCTTAGGATCCTTGGACTGCAAGGGCCTTCCGAAGGTCATCGCTGCCATCCCCCTGCTTCTAGGCAAGACTGTTCTCCAATTAAGTTCTTTGCTTTTCTGTAAAGAGTTCTAGCCAAGGAGGCTCCAGACCCACTGCTATCTTATCCTGCCAAGATGTTCTTTTTGATATCACATTTCAGGTCCTCTGGCTTTCTATATTATTCCATTTTGTCTTCACATGACGGATTCCTTTTTTGACCAACATGGTTCTTTTTAGCAGCACCAGGCAGTCTGCTGACATCACAGTCTGTTGCCATGGCAATTCTGTGATGTCACAACAGACACTGAAAGGAAGGGGCTAATCTAATTTTTTGGATTGAGCACAGAACTTGATCAGGGAATAATGTGATCAGTGAATGGAAAAACAAATGGACAACATTATTATTTAACCCATAATGAGACAAGCTGGTAAGACATAACTGGGGTCAACCGCTGCTCATATTTAAACAGCTTGATCTTAAATCCAGAAGGTCAATATATTCAGCTATTTCCTGGGACTTTGCAAATGATTTATCCTGGTGACAGGAGGCCTCAGTTTTCAGATTGCATCCTCTTCTGTCCCTAATCCAGTTTCTTGGGCCCTCTCCTGATGCCTGCTTGAGGTTCCTGCCCGTGCATAATATGTGCTCAATAAATATTTGTTGAATGAATGGATAAAAGAAATTCTCCAGCCCTGATTTAATTTTTAACCACCTGCATTTGGGGGTTGACATTCTATCACCAAGGGCTTCCCTATCTTAGCTCTCTCTTCAAATTAATTACTTCCTCTCCATGAGAGAAGCTCTGCTTCTGCCCCCTCGCCCCCTCACTCAGCTTCCCTCCCTAGCTCCCCACTGAATATGTAGCTTGGCTTTGATCCACCTTCAGTAGGAGGGGAAGAAAATTAAGCTCATCTGCACAGAAGGAGGAGGGGGTAGGGGTGCTTTGGGAAAATGAGCTTTCTTCCTCTGGAAGGCAAAAATATCCCCTTTCTCTTCAAGCTGAGCTCAGGGGCCTCCCACAGCCTTTGCTTAAGCTGCAAGTTAAATTACTTCTCCTATGCCCTGTAAAGATAGCATGAGGGAGTAGGAACGAAGGAAGGCTCAGGGGCTTCCCCTGCTCATCGGGAGCTCTGAAATCCTCGGAATTAAGTCTGCACACAGAATGTCTAGCGGGGCCTCTTTCCCTTTGCCAATAAACTGCACGGTATGGCAGATTTTCATTTTAGTTACACACCAAGAAGAACTTAGAAGAGGCAGGACGTTAGAAAGGGAAACGAGCATAGGTAATCCGTGTTCTCCTTCCTCTCTCTTTTTGGGATGTCAAAAGGTTTCCATTTGTCAAGTACACATGATTATGAATCCAAGAAGACATATCCAGTTGGATCTCTCAAATCCCACCCAAGAGAAGGGAAAATCTCAGGCGGTATAGGGGATTGTGTGGGGGAGGTGGAAGCAGCCCTAAACTCCAGGGCAGTCCAGTAGGTGGTCACTTATCCACTATGAGGCTGGCCCCGAAGGCAATGCCATCAATGGAAACAAGCATGGCAGGGCCAGACACGCAGTCCAAGATCCAACCTGAGTTAGCAATGTGACTTCATGTCATGGGCCCTTCGTTTTCTCGTGTGTAAATGAGGTACCTTCTACTCATAAGAAATAACAGTGTTCGCTTCACCAGCACATATTTTAATTCTATGAAATAATAGCTGTAAACTTTCAAAAATGTAGACCATCTTATGCACAAGAGATCGTGGCTATGATCATTCTACTTAAAAACAAATTAAGAAATATGCCAGATGCATGAGCGAAAAAGTGAA